CAGTTTTGTCTCCATTGTTCCGGGAAATGACCATTTCATACAATTCATATTCAATCTATATGACGTGCAAAAACATATTTATACTTTCATAAAAGTTAAATAATATATATTCTTTATTTATGGCTAGATCATAAACTAGTCATTATGTCAGTTACCATATCATCTAAATTTACTGAATTGGATAGTGCATGAGAAAATTGTAATATTATATATGTAATATATTTGTTATAATGTTTTGATCCTATAAGTTATTCTTATATTAGTCTCTTATAACGAATATACTTTTAAATAATATTAAAATTTATTATTTAATTAATTTTTCTTAGGTTTACTAATTAATAATAAGCTGTTAAAATTTTTATAAGCTGTTAATTTTTTTAGAAACGTTTACATTTGTAAAAAAAATATTTTATAAAATAACTATTTTTAATTAAAAATATTTTACATGTGGTAACCCTATCAGAAAAATCAGATCATGTAGTATTTATGTCAGCAAACTAGATGATATGACAGCTGATGACTGATATATGATTTGGTCTAAGAAATAAATAATAGATATATTTTTTTGCTTTTTCAAATATATATATATATATATATATATATATATATATATATATATATATATATATTACATAATCATATAAATCGGGTATAAATTCAACATATTTCGTTATATTGAATATGAAATAGATGTTTCCACATCGTTCCCTATTTACTCTTTCGCAATTGCAGCTGCAGTGTATCTGTATTTCAACTCTAACTATTTTAAACATTTTTAGTTTAGTAAGGACTGGTTTACAAAAATAAACAATGCTAACACATGTTAAAATGTTGTAAGGGAACAAATAGTGTGCAACGCCAATTATTCCGTCTTTTTGTGTTTCATTTAATGAGCTTTCTTTCTCAAGAAAAAAAAAACTTATTTAACTTATTTAATGATCTTTCATGTAGTTGGGTCTAAAGTTTAAATGGTACTAGGCCTAGGTTGAGGCTGTTCTACATATTGTAGTTTATAAATAAATAATTTCTTACTAAAATTATTTCTTTTGTTTTACATCAAAGACATAGAAAAATGAGCACAATGAAGAGGTTAACTATTCCACTAATTATTTAATTTTATTTTATTCTTTATTCATTTCTTAAATAAAAAAACATTTTCATCATATCCTCTTGAAAAATACTTATTTACAGTCAAAGATGCAACAATATTGTCTACATGATGGGATGGTAACTTTAACTATAGAGGTAAATGCACGTGATGACATCTAAGTTGTTCATGAATGGCATGTAACACGTAATATACTTAAAACTATAATTGATCAAATGACCATTGACCATTATATATAACGACATTGGTAAGAATGCTTAACTTTTGTCAAAAAATTTACAAAACACACACAAAAAGTTCAAATCTGTTGACCAGTATGTATTGGATCAGTAATTGCTATATATATATATATATGGGTCAGTAATTACTATATATTGCAGTTAAAAAAAAACTATATATTGGTTTTCCTAACCAAATTAATCTAGGTGATTGCCAGCGATTTCATGGATATAAGTATTGTATGAAACTTATATAATCTGTTTATAATATTAAAGTTTTAATAATTATTAATAAATAACCTTTTAACTTTAAATAATCTGGAAGCAAAGCTTGATATTATATATTCTTAGAAGAGTTTTGAAATATAGTGATAATAAATTTTAATTTAAGTTTTTAAAGATTTTTATGATATAATTTGTGATTAACACAAAGAAGATTGTTGAACGAAAAAACTATTTTATAGCACTTTCTATTCTTCACATTTTTTTGTCTACCATTTTATATTACTTATATGAAAATAGTTATAAAGGTGTCATAATTTTGTCAAATCCCAAATTACTATTTCTCGTTCATTTTTTTCTGTAGTGTTTACCCTAAAACTCAAAAACAAATTCCTTCTTAAATTATCTCCGATCATCACACTATATTATCTAACACTAATTTATTTGAATTTTTGTTATTAATATCAATCATTGTTTAGATATCTTTTAAAAGTATTACTCCCATTTATTTTAAATTACTATAATACATAACTATTTTAATTAAATCTGATTAACTAATGATATATAAGAGAAAATAATATTTAAATTTTAAATAACGTGATGTTGTTATTTTATAGATATGTATATATATTATATACTTAATTTTAATGTGAGATTCAATATTAAATCAAAAAATGTTTTTATTTGTATAAAATTTGGTAAACATGTACTATCAAACATTATAAAATTTTATTATACGGCAAAAATATATTTAAATGATTTTCTCTTACTTTCAATTTACGTTATATTTTCCATGGTCACCATTATCAATTTTAGAACGGATCATTTTATTGATCTTCTTTACTCAATTTATATTGATGTTGTAAAAAGACATAAAACTAACTAGTACATAAAATACATGTATCTTGACAAATAAATAAAAGTACATAAGAATCAAGAACACAACAAACATATTTTATTATTCTTCCCTATTTTTTTTTGTCTATGTTTTCTTTCTTTTTTCTATTAAAAAAATAAGCATTCATGGAAATTTATTTTAATCAAAGCTGTATAAATTATATTAACAGAGTATTAACTCTAGTCTCATATTAATATAAGGTCCTGATTTTTTCTTGATTAATATAATTTTAAATGACTTACCGAATATTTTTTATGTTTATAAGTAAAAAGAAAATACTTTAAAATTTTTTGTCAGGTACTTTAATAATTTCTATAAGAAATAACACAACTATACTATCACATTGTTATTGAAAAATGATTGCAATATTTTTTAATTATATATTTAATTGCTCTATTCATTTGACACATTTGTAGAATATATATATATATATATATATATATATATATATATATATATATATTGAGTGAGTGAGTTTAGTTACTATTATTAGGTTTAGATTAATTACTTTTCTGCAATCTATGATTTATTATTCCATCACTAATATAAATATATTTAAAATCGTTTATATAATTTTTTTTAGTATTATATGTATACTTTAAATTTATATTAATGTAAACTATGATAATTGTTTCTATAAACAAATTATGTCAATTCATCTATATTTAAGATGTTTAATTGTTTTTTATAACATATATTAGATAGATAATTCTATGATTAATTTAATGAAATAAATAAATAAATAAGTATCAATCAATTAAAATCCATACCAGTATTTGAGAAGTAAATTTGCTTAGGTGTCATGTTCTCTATTATTTTAGGTAATTTTACTTATTTGTCATGCTTTTATAATTTTGATTAATAATTAATTATTACTCTCAATGAATAATTAAATTTATTAATATATAACTAAATATAATTAAAAATATATTAATATACTAACTATAAACTAAAAATGAATTAATATATAATTAACCTTAAGTAAAAACAAATTTCATTGATTGGATGATTATCATGATCTAAAATAGTTTATATTAAAATTAACCATAAACTAAAAGCAAATTAATATATAATTAGCCATTAATTAAAAATAAATTTCATGGATTTAATAATTATCTTAATCTAAAATAATTTATATTATGTTATAAAATCTTTATTGACTTTAATCAAAAATTATAATTGTTAATATATAATTAACCATAAACTAAAAACAAATTTTATTGATTTGATAATCATCAGTGTATAAAAATAGTTTATGTGTGTTATTCAAAAAATATTTTACATTAGATTTCTTTTTAAAATTTAAATTATAAAAGCTAAAACCCTATATATATTGTATATAATATTAATATATATTAATGTTTTCAAATTTATTTTACGCAATAAGTATAATCCACTTTTATTATATTGACAAACTTGCTCATATATAAAAGAAAATTAATATTATTTTTTTGCCTAACCGAGTATCCTGTCCCCACTGAAGTGGTCCAGACTAGAGACCGGAGCGAGCAAGGACACTGCCAGAACGTCGCCATGTGGCTCACCTATAACGGTCTTCGGTCTCGGATGCTGTAGGTCATATTTAAATTTCGCAGTGGCCAAGGCTCGAACTCAGGGCCGGACACTCCAGCTGGAGCTCTACCACTCCAGCCCTTTTTTTTAAAAAAAAATTAATATTTCATTTGTTACTAAACATTTCAAAAGTATTAGTGGTTTTAAGTTAATGTTACGTGATAAAAAATATTTATGCTACGATAAAAACTTGTACATATAAATAGTTTATTGTTTAATTTTTATTAAATATTTTGAATGTGCACATTAATTTATTTTAATTCTATTGCAACTGATATACTTACTTTAAAATATTTATAAAAACTATTAACCCTAGTAAAACATTTTTTTTTTAAATTGTTTTTTGCATTTACTATTTTTTTTCTCTTTTATTTTTAAAAAATAATATAATGTTAAAATATTTTTAAACATTTTTTCATTTTTTTGTAAATATTATTATTTTTATTTATTATTTTTATTTTAAAAAGATAATATAACTTAAGAAGATTTTGTTTCTTTTTTTACAAGATACCAAATATGAAATAACAATTTTCTATTGGTTGGTGAACCTATAAATTCATTCTATGGGATGAATCCAAGAATAAACCTTCTTAGAAACTAGGGAAACAAATCTCTGCACAGATTCAGTTCTTTCTCTCCTATATTTTATCTTTTTAGTTTTTAGATACCTTATTAAAACTCATCAATAGAGATGCTCTTATGGCCATGATTAAAAATATATTAATTTAAAGAGTTATGACGGTAACAACTTGCTTTTTTTCCAACAAGATTGAATTGAGGTAATATAGTAAATTTTTAATCTATTTAACAACGTTTTACTGGATCACCAATTATTAGAGCTAGATATATTTTTCTTACCAAAATCTCACGTCCTATCCATTGTTATATATATATACCACTACAATTACAGCTCACAATTTCATACAAAACTCAAAGTCTAATACCTCTTAAGTTATTAACTTATTACGAAAAAGAAGTACTAATGGGAAGCATTGAGAGTCAAGAAACACATGTTCTATTGGTAGCCCTGCCGTACCAAGGTCACCTCAATCCAATGCTAAAATTCGCCAAACTTCTCTCACGACCTAACCTCCACCTCACTCTCGCCACCACCGAGCAAGCCCGTGGCCTCCTCTCGACGACCGAAGAAGAACAACGTAGCCCTCCTGTGGACTTGGCTTTCTTTTCAGACGGTCTACCTAAAGACGACCCAAGAGATGCAGATTCTCTCATCGTGTCGTTGAGAAATGTCGGAGCCAAGAACTTGTCTGAAATCGTTGAATCAAAGAGATTCTCTTGCATCATCACCGTGCCTTTTGCTCCATGGGTTCCAGGTGTTGCAGCTTCATATAACATCCCTTGTGCACTCCTCTGGATCGAAGCTTGTGGAGCTTTCTCGGTTTATTACCGTTACTACATGAAGACAAACACTTTCCCCGAAAATCTCGAAGATCTGACTCAGACAGTTGAGTTACCAGGTTTGCCATTGTTGGAAGTTGGAGATCTCCCTTCCTTTCTCTTGCCTTCTGCAGGAAGTCACCTAAATAACCTAATGGTGGATTTCGTCGAATGCTTGAAAGATGTGAAATGGGTTTTGGTTAATTCATTTTACGAACTTGAATCAGAGATAATTGATTCGATGTCTGAGCTGAAACCAATGATCCCGATCGGTCCTCTGGTCTCTCCATTTCTATTGGGAGCAGATGAAGACAAAACCCTAGATAATGGTGGTTGTATGGAGTGGCTTGACAAGCAAGCTAGGTCATCGGTTGTGTACATATCTTTCGGAAGTTTGATAAAATCATCGGAGAACCAAGTCGAGAGCATTGCAACGGCGCTGAAGAACAGAGGAGTTTCATTTCTCTGGGTGATTAGACCTAAGGAGAGAGCCCAAAACGTGGCCGTTTTGCAAGAGATGGTACAAGAAGGACAAGGGGTTGTTATTGAGTGGGGTCCTCAAGAAAGAATACTGAGCCACGTGGCCATCTCTTGTTTTGTTACACATTGTGGATGGAACTCGACGATGGAGACGGTGGCGACTGGTGTTCCGGTGGTGGCGTACCCGAGTTGGATCGATCAGCCGCTTGACGCGAGATTGCTTGTGGATGTGTTCGGAATGGGAGTGAGGATGAGGAATGGTGCCGTCGACGGCGAGCTTAAGGTAGCGGAGGTTGAGAGATGTGTTGAGGCTGTCATGGAAGGACCCAACGCCGAGGATATGAGGAGGAGAGCGACGGAGTTGAAGGTTGCGGCGAGATCGGCGTTGGCGTCGGGTGGTTCA